TTTTTTTTTTTTTTTTCCGTTTTTTTGTTCTTGTTTTGTTTTTCTCTTTCTGCGAAGAGAGGCATTTGAGATCAGAAATTGGCCTCATCCTCCGCAAATTTCAATAAGAACTTCAAAATTGAAGGCTTGGGATCATCTTCAACTCCTTTGTCCCTGGTTTCAAAAATGCCTTTCATAATACGAGTGTACAGCCTTTCCAGCTGAGGAATACTGTAGCTTTCCGTTCGCTCCACAAACAGTTGCTTGGCAGATTCCACTTGCTTTGAAATCTCTTCATCCACCATTCTAATGTCCTCGGATCCGGTCCCATTTATCAGATCAGAAGCTTCTGTACAACTTTCTTGCTGGTTGCCATCACCACAAGTTGATTCAGGCTTCTCACAGTTTATCTCGTTTGCCTCCAGGGCTTGAGATGACTTGGTTTGTACTGACTCTACGATCCTTGATTTTTCCTCTGCTGCAGCACAAATGAGCAGATAACTCGATAAGTCATGACCATTGTAACACTTCTAAGTAAATTATGAAAGAAAAATCATCAGCAAGATTTATAGAGAGTGCAGAAACTATAGGGTGATCAAAGAACTACAAAACAATGATAATTTGCTTCTTTTTTTTTTTGTTCTGGTGAGGATACTGTGCTTTTGAACCCGCATAAAATATCAAAAGGCGGTATGGTGGGCTGGAGATTGACAGAGGGATTCATTCCATAATCGATTCCCATCTCATGCTAGTAATCAATATCAAGTCTGATACAAACTCCTGTTTTAAATTCAAAGGCATGAAGAACATTTTTAAACCATCTGCAGCTCTGCTACTTTGAAGAAGGTCATCTCCAAGCATGACTGGCTACTGCATATACCTTTGTAAGTAAACACAATGATTTTCACGATATACTCTACCCTGTTTCTTAACTCACTGGCTCCCACCTTTCGGTGGGTGATAAATCATATATTCTATACTTCTTAGGATTAGGATATGGAACATGATCAAAACCATGATTTGCAATGAGATTTCTAAAATAAATATGATGGAAAATTATTGCTTACAATGAATGACCAAGATCAGAAAAGTGAAAACCTTCTACTTTTACGGTACTCCAAGTTATGGGGCAAATATTGGCACTAGAAAGAAATCATCAACCAAAATCTAAGTACCAGATTCTTTTACCCTAGAAATGGTATTATATATGGATACTAGATATTAATAAAACAACACTGACACGGCTGCTTTAAGAGCCTGCCAACCGTTAACTTCTGGTTCTTAAGTGATTCCAAGATATGATTTAAATGAATGAGAGATAAGGTTGAATGCTTGGAACTTTTGAAAGGGAAAAGCCCCTTTGTAATATAAATGTAACCATGTGCCTATCCTGGTATTGGATGCCAATTGAGATAACTAAATCCAAATCTTAGTAACAAAATATGTGACCTTAGCCTAAACCCACCTAATCATACACCAAGTGAGAGTCAGCTAAATCTATGTATACACACATAAGAGACATCCAAATACCTGCAAGGACAGAATCAACATTCTTCTTTGGCCTTTTCAAAGCCTCATAACTTTGAAGATTGACCTCTGGCTGGACATTCCGAAGTCGGGCACTTGCTCGAGTGACAGTTCCTAGCTGCACAACAGGTACTGAGGGGAGAGTAGACACCCCTATATCATCTGGCATATGTGCTGGACCCCCCTGGGCAGCTATTTTGTCACAATAAGCAACCAGTGCAGGGTCCATCTGTGACAGCATCCCATGTACCTGATAGAAAAGAAATTAAGATCATGAAAAGAAAAAACGGTAAGCCCCCGAGTAATGAGAAGGATATTAGGAGCAAAAGAACGAGTAAGCATACTGCATCCCGTAGTTCATAAGCTCTACTAACAATCCTAGCACCATTATAATCATCTCCGTTATAAGCCTGAAATTCAAGAAAGCAAAGCAAATCAGGCACAGGAAACCTTATTGGACCAGAGCAAGACAAAAAGGAAGATAATGCAGATAATATTTATTACTAAGTCTTTCAATATGTTTCCAGACCTTGGCACAAAGAACTGAAACATATAATACATGACAAGCGTACAATGGAAAAAAAGACGAGCATCCACAGTGCTAAAAAATCCAAAGCATGCAATACAAAGATATGCCCTGTGCTGAATTTTGTCAGTAAGTCACCTTCCACTAATTTGCAACACCCCCACCTAGTGGAAAAATATATCAATGAAGTACACATTAGTTCATGTTATACACAGGATATCAGGAGAAGATTGGAATATTTGTTATAAAATTCCAGTCTCAACAACAAGAGAAGATTTGTCTACTGTTTATAGTATGTAATAAAACCAAACTTCCAAGTGATCCTTTAACTAACATAAAAAATAATCTGCATTTAACTTCCAAGTGATCCTTTACCTGACATAAGAAATAATATCTGCATTTAACTTAATGTCAAAGAAGATTACAACAATAGACTGACAGTGAAGATGTTACTATTACTGCAAAATAAACTAGCAAATTATTCAGATTCTACTCTCATGTACATAGCATGCGACTGTTGGTATTTTTAAATGCATGTGCAGTTTGGATGCATTCATTTGTACCTGTCTATAAAATGCATCGGGTGAAGAACCTAATTCCTTTACCTGTTATGTAATTTCAATTTTAGCGATTAGGATTTTCATATTTTTGGATTCTGGGTATTTTTTGCAAATGGTCAGAACTTTAACTGTTGCAATTCCTCTACCCTTTGCTTAGTTATGTTACTTTGTCGAGTTTAGATTATTATAGCATTTTGCAGGGGTTCAGGTCTATTTTCTTGGTGCCTAACTTGGTTGTTTACATGTTTAGTAGTTACTATCCTATTAGGAATCGTTTTTTTTTTTTTTTGAAAGGCCTATTATGAATCTTTTGAATATTTTGGTTCTTGAGGCATGGATAACGAGGAATATCTCATGCACCCTTCTTCCTTCTTGATTCTCTACATGCATAGACCAGTGGAACTACTGTCCATAGTGTTGCTGCAAAGCTTCCTTATTTATTCTCTTCTCCCTTCCTTTTCCTGTTCTTATTTTTTTACTTTTTTTACTGTTAGGGGTGGGGATTTAAACTTAGGACCTCTATTTTCATGGTGAGGTGTTGGCACCACTGAGGCAATACCTCAGCTTTTTCACTTTTCTTTTCTATTCAATCCTAGATCCAACCCATTCTGCTAACTACTTCAGAGGCCCTAAACCCACAATTTTTCTATCCTTCTCCCATTTGAATAGGTCATTGTAATCAAGTTTCAAAACCACAATTTTGCTGCTACCCCAAAATTCTTTGGAATCTCTTTCTGCTGCCAGCCACTCTATTGCCCTTAAGTTCCAATGAATTTGAGCCCCTGAATATAACAATAAACCTAAAATCCCAAAATTTTCAGCCCTAGGTATCTACCCTACCATAGATCCTAAGCAAAGAGATTTCCCCTACTCTGTCCTACATGCATTCATACATGTGAAAATGCTAATCCCCCAAATAATCCACAGTAAACCATCATCCATTAGTGGCAAGTTACGTGTTCAACCAAGTTAAATTAATAAAAATGGAAATCAGAATAGATCACATAGAGAAATCATAACAAACCCACACCTTTGCATTTGTTACAATCAGATCAACATCTTGCTGAAAAGCTGCGCAGGTAAGATATTGCCCAGAGTCAACCTGCTGCAATAGAGTAGCCACATCCATAGGGTTCTGGATTATTGAGCGGTAGTTTGGTGCGTCCTCATCAGTGACTGGGTAATGAAAGACACTAAATCTTTTATCGTAAAATATCCTGCAACATGATCAACCATAGTCTAAAAAGCTTAGTAACTGTTAATAAAACCCTTTTCAGCCATAAATCAAAGCCTAAATATCTTATTTTGTAAGCTCATATAAAGATAACAACAATCAACAATAAATTAAAACCTACAAGCCCATTCTAGAAGCCATCTTCCTCGAAATTTGAGGTTTTCCCAGCTATATTAACTTTGGAGAAAAAGCAGGAGTAAATACGGGTAACAAATGTAAGTTGATAAATAGAATTACATGCAAAGGAGATCTTACAACCCAAAACAAATTCATGGACCATTTGGAAACATCCAACGATAATTATTTAATGAGCCAAAAACCACACTGCAATTGGGAGAGATATACAAGAACCAGCTTCATGTCTAAAGGTAGATTTTCTCCTTCTTTTTCTCTCTTTTCTTCTTTAGTCATGGTTTTAAATTTTTTTCACTAGTTTTTTTTATTTTCTTAGCTAATAAATTTCTCTCAAGGTCACCTAACTAAGCAGTTCTACAAGAACACACCTAATATGCCTTGGGCAATACTTTGAAAAACTTTAGATCTTCTTCCAATCTTAGTTATAGTTTTTTCATTTGCAAAATTTCAACTCAGCACTGAAACCTGAGTTCCAGTTCCCTTTTCTATTTGTCCTAAATTTCACCTGAATTGATTGAAATATGCTTAACAGAGA